CTTTGCCCTGGGGGCTTACATGGCGTTCTTCAGGGTTTAGGGTTTAGGGTTTAGGGTTTAGGGTTTCGGGTTTAGGGTTTAGGGTTTAGGGTTTCGGCCAAGGGCTTCGGGTTCAGGCCTACCTGAAGCCCTCAAACCCTTTCTACAAGGCTTTAGGATGCTTCTTATATACGGTTCTTTGTGCACCAAGGTTGCTTAACTGCATATCATAATCAGTACCCCGTCGTACCTCCCAGTGCCGGAAGGACATGATTCGCGTCTTGGCGACCACCTGCTCGAGAACATCGCGGCTCAGGGTTTACGGGTTTGGGGGCTAGGTCTCAGGGTTTGGGGTTTAGGCATCAGAGTTTATGGTTTGGGGGTTTAGGGGTTTAGGTTTTGGATCTTGGCTTCAGGGTTTAGGGTCTTCTGAAAGCCTGACTTTTGAGGAATTTGACTCCTTCACAATCCCTGTGTTTTGCAGCAGAACCCAAAACCCAAACCCGAAAAAAACACACACTCAGAATAGTTCGACCTTTGCCTTGAAGCATCAAGGTTTTAGGGGTAATGCTAAATCAGCATCAAACCCACTATGGAACATAACCCCCAGACCGGCTGACGTTGCATATGCTTTCAGACAGTGAACCCGAAGCTGGTTCTGAGCTCATGGAGGAAGGCTGAGATCGACAGAGCGCATTTTCGTTTTTTCATAATGACGAGTACATCTCTAAAATGTGCGGGAACCCTACTATGGGTAGGCATGCGCCGCTACAAGGGTTGGAGTCTTTGGGTGGATCAGGCTCAAACTGCTAGAAGCTCTAGGTTTCCGCCTGCTGTGAGTGCATAACGAGGATGTCATCATCCACGGCCTTCGCCAGCTTCAGCGCCTCTGACTCCGAGTATGGAGACCGAGGTCAGGGAAGAAGTTGGGGCTTAGGGTTTAGGGTTTTAGGGTTCTACCTCTACCTTCTAGGCAGGGGTTTTGGAATAATGATCCTGACTACCCGTAACCCTAAACCCTAAACCCTAAACCCTAAACCCTAAACCCTAAACCCTAAACCCTAAACCCCAAACCGAATCTGCAACTGCTACACGGGCCTCGGGATGCACGCTACGATTCCCGAACGCCAGTGGTGCTTCAGGGCTTGAAGGTCTGAGGATTACACAAGTACCAGACTATGCCATACCATACCATAGTGTACTATACGGTGCTATGCTATACCCTAAACCCTAAACCCTAAACCCTAAACCCTAAACCCTAAACCCGATGCTATACTATGCTACTCTATACGATACTACGCTATGCTACACTACACTATTTAAGAGAGCGGGAGGTCGGGACTAGGGTTTAGCGTTCCGGGTTTAGGTTCAGGATTTAGGTTCCAAGGTTTGGGCTTAGGGTTTAGGGTTTAGGGCTTAGGGTTTAGGGTTTTAGGGTTTAGGGTTTAGGAGTTTAGGGTTTAGGGTTGAGGGTTTGGAGAAGAACTCGCCCCCAAAGCCGTGACTGCCCAGAACCTTGAGCTTTCGAGGAGGGTTCGGATGTTTGGTTCAAGTCGCATCACCACAGTAGAACCGCAAAAAGCGGAACACCAATCTGAGAGCTGGAGGGTTCGGATGTTTGGTTCAAGTCGCATCACCACAGTAGAACCGCAAAAAGCGGAACACCAATCTGAGAGCTTTGAACTAACCAACATGAACCGAAAAGACTGAACCCTGAGCTTGAAATCATAAACGACCACAAACCCTCAACACCATGCCCTGGATGTTGGATCCTGTTCACTGTTTGGGCTTCAGGGCCAAGCCCTAAACCCAAACCCTAAACCCAAAGGCCTTCAACCCTAAACCCCAAACCCTAAAACCTAAAGGCCCTATACAACGCCTCTTCTGCAGCATCACTGGCCTGGCGCGGAAGTCCGCAAGTGCTCAAAGCTCTTGCCAGTCGCTATGCGAAGTGCCGTTTAGGGCTTAGGGTTGGGGGCTTAAGGTTTAGGCAGTAAGGGTTTAGGGTTTAGGCTTTAAGGGTTTAAGGTTTAGGCATTAAGGGTTTAGGGTTTAGGCTTACAGGGTTTAGGGTTAACCTCTGACCCTACACATTGGTTCACTAGTCGTGAGCTACGAGAATCACGGAGGAGGACATCGGACCCAAGCACAGGAGAAGCGCCTTGGATCAAGGGCCTTCAAACTTCACGTGGTTGGAATTACTGACTCAGGCCTAAACCCTTAACCCTAAACCCGGCACCCTCAACTCTGAACTGGTGAGGCTTCCTTGAAAGTTTCGACCTTTTTGAGCGGTTTTGCATCCATGCAATCTACATAGAACACATCTTCAAAGGACTCTGAGTCCCAATTTGTCATCCTACCTATTATATCAAGCACGGTGGCAAGAGCTACGCTTCAAGCCCCTATCTGCTTTACCTAAACCAAAGTAACCAAAGGGTATATCCATTTAGCCGGCAGCAAGAAGCCTTACAATGCCGCACAAGTCTCCCGCGATGACCGAAACACGAGCAGCACTGCAGCAGTACAGAAGCAGGAGCACACCTACACCTCGTGGAGCAATACAGTTGATGATATAAATCCTGCATTACCCATAATTAGGAATATAGAATAACTCCCATAGCTTAGGGTCCTTAAGGTACTGCAGGATTTATATCATCAACAGTATGACTCCATGACACACAAGAGACTTGGTATGAACCTGACGAGATCCGTCGTAAGTCGAAACTTTCGTCCCCCGGGGTGAAAGAAACCTTTTGAAGAACCTCCATAAATAGAAGCCTAAATAACTACCAACATTACTGTTTGGGTTCCTTATAGTATTTATGATTTATGCTACAGAGGAGCCCAAAGCCCTTTTCTCATTATTAAGGCCCCTATATTTGCTAAAGCTCTCAAGGGCTAAAGCCTCAACCCTGAAAGCCCTAAACCCTGAAACCCTGAAACCCTGAACCCTGAAAACCCTGAAAACCCTCAACCCTGAAAATCCTGAAAACTTTTAAGCCTGAAACGCTAAGCCCTGAAAACACTCAACCCTGAAAACCCTACACCCTCAACCCTGAAAACCCTCAAGCCTGAAAACCCTGAAAAGCCTGAAAACCCTGAAAACCCTCAACCCTGAAAACCCTAAACCCTGAAACCTTAGAGGAGGGAAGCCCCTAGTTCGGAGATTCTGGAAGCCTTTTTGAAGCTCTCGGGAAGATCGTCCCCGGGCTTGTGGTCGTCCTGGCCACCGGCTGCGAGGGCTTTGGGGTTTTTGGGTTTTGGGGTTTGGGGGTTTTGGGGTTTTGGGTTTTTTGAGTTTAGGGTTTAGGGTTTAGGGTTTGGGGGTTTTGGGGTTTGGGGTTTAGGGTTTGGGGTTTTGGGGTTTCGGCTTTAGGGTTTAGGGTTTGGGGTTTGGGGTCTGGGTTTCGGGTTTGGGGGTTTCGGCTTTAGGGGTTAGGGTTGCGGCTTTGGGGCTTATAGGCTTTAGGGTTTAGGGTTTCGGATTTGGGGCTTATAGGCTTCAGGGTTTAGGGTTTCGGGTTTGGGGTTTCGGCTTTAGGGTTAAGGGTTTCGGCTTTAGGGGTTAGGGTTGCGGCTTTGGGGTTGGTAGGCTTTGGGGTTTAGGGTTTCGGCTTTGGGGCTTATAGGCTTTAGGGTTTTGGATTTCGGGTTTGGGGTGTCGGGAATAGCGCTTGGCGGCTTTACGCTTTCGGGTTTGGGGTTCCGGGGGATGTGTCTGTATGTATGCATGTATGTATCTATATGTACATACATATATACATATATATATATATATATATGTACATACATATATATACATATATGTATGTACATATATATAGATATATAGTTATATAACTATGTACTTATGTATTTACTTTTCTTACACCTATGGTTATAGAGTATGGTATGCTTTGCTCATCCGGGGTTTCAGGTTTAGGGCTTCGGGGACTGAGGCGTTGCAATGCTCCCGCGGAGGGTTTCAGGTGGCGCTTTATCGGGCCTCGAGCTTTGGGGGCATTTTAGGGTTGATGATAGACCATGGGTTCAGGGTTTAGGGTTTAGGGTTTGGGGTTTGGGGTTCAGGGTTTAGGGTTTAGGGTTT